CCATTTTATGAATTTTTCAAAAATTATTTGTCAAAGTCACTGCAATACTTTTTGCTGGAAAAATGACTTTTACAAATCAAAATATAAATTTCAGATGTGCTCAATATTATTGGATTGCCATTGCTTATAGGTTTGAAATTAGAACAAATAAACTCAGCATTTATATACATTTTTATTTACATACAAATTAATTTTCTACTTATACATTTTAAAACCACGAGTTCAAATAATGTATCCAAACTTAACCTAAAATCATCCCAAGTTCTTGGTTTTTTTTTTCTCTATTTACATAATCTTTTTTTGCTGCCCATTGCAATTATTTTATATACTTAATTGTTCAGCCCCTCTGTTTTAGTCTTCTGTATTTTTCTTTGATTCCTTGCCTCAGGTAAGCACTAATCACCTCCAATCTGATATCCAATGTGCTATGCTGGCCTCCCTCTGTGACTGCCCCTCCTGGTCGTCTGCTGAAAGTAAATATGACATTTGTTTTGCTCAGCTCTACCATATTACCAACAGCTATCTCCTTGTAGTCTTTAGATCTCAAAGAAAATTGTGAATGTTTCCCATCTTGTCTTCAAATATATTTTTGTATCATTTTTCACATCTTCATTTTTTTGGAACATTAAATAAATTTGTAGTAGGTTGTTAAAAATTTTCCAAAATATAAATTTTTTTTTCCTTTTTGGTTGTTTGAGACAGGGTCTCACTATGTAGTTGAGACTGACCTGGAACTCACTATGTGGCCCAGGCTGGTCTCAAACTCACAGCGATCCTTCTGCCTCAGCCTCCCGAGTGCTGGGATTACAGGCATGCACCACCACGCCTGGCATCCAAAATATAATTTAATCCCTAGCCATTCCAATATTTCCTTCTTCTGTCTGCGCTGAAAGTAAATGTGGCATTTGTTTTGCTCAGCTCTACCATATTACCAACAGCTATCTCCTTGTAGTCTTTAGATCTCAAAGAAAATTGTGAATGTTTCCCATCTTGTCTTCAAACATATTTTTGTATCTTTTCACATC